GGAAATATCATATTACTGATGTTCATGCCGACTCACAGCTGGTAACATTAGTCAGTATAGAGGCCCCCAATTCTGACTTTTCAGCATTTTCAGATGAGTTTCTGGCAGTGGGAGAGTTCCCCAGGCACATTGTTATGTAGGAAGAGGAGATTTTTAACTAACGTAGGAGCTAGCCTACATGAAAAATTCTTTATTCTTGTTAGACTTTTTATAAGCTTGTCAGATATTCAAATAATATGTAACCAAGCCAAACTTCAGGTGGTTGATAGGAAATCTCCTAGAGCCAGGAGTTTTAATTTTTTTTGTTGTTTTGGTTTTTTTCTACGACATGTTGGCAAATGATAAAAGCGATTCGCTCTGCTAACCAGAGATGCTGGGCACAGTTCCTCCAACACTGATCTCATGCCATGAAAAGCACGAGGCGTGGCGGAGAGCACAGACTTGGTATCCATCCTACCGCTCGGATTTGCATCCCAGTTTAGCCCCTACTTGCTGTGTGACCAGAGGATATTCACTTAACCTCTCTGAACCTTAGGGTCCTCACATAGAAAATAGGCAAAAGATCAATCCTTCCTAGTTGGTATGAGGACCAAATGAGGTAACGTGTAAAGAAATCTATGTATAAAGAAAACGTGCTGGGCATGTACCCAGTGTTCAAAGGTGATCATTGCTAACTTCTATTCTTTTTGCTTCTATGGTTTGCAAAGCTCATTTTTTGAGTTAATTTTTTTCCAATAAAATGCACCGCTTTTAATATGATAATAAAAGGAAACACCGCTATCGATGCCCTGCAGACTGATCTGGCCAGTCCTTCTTGAGCGAATAGCTGTTGGCCACGCACCTTTGCCTCAGTGAGCCTAGACTTCCCTTTATTAGCCTCCTCCGCGTTCAGGCAGTCAAACCATAGGACAGATTTTAACCAAATCCCCTGGACCCCTGGTAGCACAGATCCGAGTTACATGGGCATAGGTGAGACAGTGGATCATCTGGCAGCTGGAGCTCCCCATGCCCCTTCCTCACCTGTCCTACTCCAGTTCACCTTGAGTTAGGAGAGATGTCAGAACCTTTCTGTGGGATTGCCTCCTGCTCGGATTTTTTCCTAAACTTTTTCCGTGTGCCTGAGTCTCCGTTTTCACAGAGATTAATTCTGATTTGGTTCGCCTACACTTTTGAAGCTCTAAAAGCTTTCCATTGTGGGCAGATTGTCTCAAATACTGTATTTGAGGATGGAAAAAGAAAACTCTGCCCAAATGTAAGCACCATTGAATCAAAGAAACAGTATTTTTTTTCAATAGCATTCTTTGAGGATCCAGATAACCTTGAATCCTTTACAAAAGCACATCAGCAATGCCATCCTCCCTCTTAAAAAGACACATACACACACACACCCCCTCCAACTACAGAAGGCCACTATTCATGGTGTAAAGGGATAGAGTGCCCAAGAGGAATACAAATTGAAAAAGAAGGTGATTCTATAGATAGAACCCAGACCTAGAAGCCAGGACATCCAAATTCTGTTTTCTGCTACATGCGAACCTGCCTTCCGGTATGGGTCCCAACATATGGGCTGCACCCCAGCTCCATTGCCATTATTTCTAGGGAGCACGGATTCTGACTCATCTTCCTTAGGGGTTGTAGGGGAATTCATTTGTTGCTGTTTTGAACGACATTGTGATACCTGTACCAAAGGCACTTTACATGGGCAAAGTGTTTTCCTCACTTGGAAGGGTGAAGCCCTGAATTCTACCTCCCATCAATCTGGAGTGGATAAAAGACTGAACATTTCACACTAGTATGGGAAGAAAATGATGTCATTAGAATACCAACTTCTAACAGGGTATTTGTAATCATCTTAATATCTAGGGCTGACGCAGACCCACTGACCTGGCCTCTCATCCATATTGACTCCTCTTTCATCCATGGGTGCTTTTGATAAGCATTAATTATAGGACAACTGAGTGTGAGAGGTGTTGTGGATACAGAGTGCATATCCCTCCCTTCACAGCCTAGCTAAACCCCTATGTACACTGCTGGCTAGTTAACTTAAAGTTTGGTACAAATCCCTTCCTTTTTGTGCATTGAGCCATTTTAGTAAGTCTGTGGACAGGCTCTTCCATAGCCAGGAGGTCTTGCTTCTTCTGAACTGTTAAAGCACTTAGTTATATGTCTCATGTGGCATTGATTACATACTGTCCTATACTAGAGTATGCTTATATGTGTCTCATTCCTCCTGCCACCTCCCAGTAAGCTTCATAAACACAGAGATTGTATTTACACACAGTTTGTATCCCTTTCAACACCTAGAATGTACCATCAGAAATAAAAGGTACGCAGTGAATATTGGAATTTTAATGAATGAAATTAACAATGGCATATGAGTATTTGGCAACAAACTGTTTTTTCTGAACTCCGTAAATACCTACCCAGAAGCTAGGCTACAGAGAACATCACTCAATTATATCTGTAAAGCTTAAGGATTTTATTTTTCAATTTAATATTTATAGGTTTCATTCTTCCCTACTCTTGGCTGACAGTATTTACACATAGTAGGTTTTTAATAAATGGTTATTGATTTATTAATTAAAATCATAGAATAAATAATTTCCTATCTCTTTATGTTAAAATAGTTATTTTGATTCCCATCTACATCTTTGTCTTTAGACCTTGTCAACCCCTGCAACACAGATATCCTAGGATTATATTCCAAGTGGTAACTGGCTTCGGCTTAGAAGTGGTCCTGATTTTTAATTTGGCCTTTTTATCAGACCACTTAAAGAGCAGAAAGAAAAATTTTGTTTTCTGCCTCCTCCTCTTCCTCAAAGGACTGTTCTATAGTTGAATGAGGCTTATGTCTATATAAAAATCTTTTAATTCCTGGAACAAATGTAACATCAGACTTGTAATGTCAGAGTGAGGAAGCTTTGGCGTTTCAGCACACCAAGTAATTCTGGGCGTCCTCTGTGGTGAGTTTATTCACGGACCTGAGGGATGGGGGTTCAGTACTCTAAGCTGTTAGGTTAGGTGCGTATGATCTGTACCAGCTGCATTAACTGCGTCCTCAGCCCAAATGGGACAGCTGACTTCACAGGTCCTCTCCAGCCACACAAAAGCTTCCCCATTACTCCCCAACCTGATTCGATCCTAAATTTCACCCACAGGAAATGATCTGAAGCCAATTGCTTTTGTGCTAGGTCACAGGACGTGATATAGCAGAGAGTTCCAAAATAGATACATTATTCCAGTTTTTCCTTGGTCCTTCCTCAGAACGTCTGTCTCACAGAAAGCCGGGGAAGCCAGTCCCTCCTCGGCTAGACATTCTGTTGAGTCATGTTTACTGTCCCCCTCAGAAAGGTTCCAAAAGCAAATGCAAGAGGTTGCCGAATGCAGGGACATGTGGCGTGCGTGCTACTGAAGTGCGAGGCATAGCACACACCTGCTTTTTGGCTGTGGCGGGCCATCTTGACTGTGCCATGCCACAAGTTAGCATTTTGGATGAGCAATTGCCATTCTGTTGTTTTCTTCTCAACACATGGTGTTCAAAAACAGTTAAAAGAAAACTGTACCCATTTGCTCATCCCAGAAATCTAAAATTTCAGAGAAGCATGCCAAATTAATTTTCACATAATATTTTCCAAGCTTTTTCTTTGCACTGAGAAATGATATTTCACTTTTTGAACCCTTGGGGTCCCGGCCTGAGGTAAATGGGTGCAGTTTCTCTTTAAATGGCGTTAAACATATCAAAGCAGGATTATATCTGTCATTGTCTTTTTTTTTTTTTTTTTTTCTAATGGAATCAAAATCCTTCAGGGAGTGTCCCAAATCCACATTAATGTCTTTGAGTGCTAATGTTTCCACTGGGACTTTTACATTAGCAAAATACAAGTGTGTGGTTCCCCCCCTGCTGTCTGTATGAGAAAGAGACAGAGACGGCTGCACATCCGTTATTCTCGGTGGCCTTCAGCTAACCCATGTCAAGGTGGTAGAAGATGACTAGAGATTTTTGGTACTAATGCCTCCTTTCTACCCTTTTCCTCCCATGTGTGGCTCGCGTGCCATGCTCATGTGAATGCTGTTTCCAGCATGGGAGAATCTCTGACATCCCGGCCAGAATTTTATTCAAAAAAACTAAATTACAGTATCCATCAATACTATTTATTGAGGGCCTATTACAACCCAAATTTCACCTTTGGTTCCGATTCTGGAAAAATTAGACAAACACCCATGATTTTAAGACCTCACCATGGACATGTTTGTCATTGATTTGGGGATATCCTTCCTGGCTCCTTATTATTGCAATACAATTCCTGTCTGCTTCAATCCCACTTTGTTGTTTCTTTAACAAAGCAATTAAAGTGACATGTTGTCAACTCTTGATTATCAGGTGGCGATGAAAGATTTCAGTGTCATAGATAGATAATAATTATAAATAAATAATTGTAACATGATAATAATTAATAATTCTCACATCACATTTAATCTTAGAATGCACCTTTTTCTTGCCTTTAAATGTACTCTGGAAAGTTATAGTATTTCTAGAGCAACTGTTTTTATATGTAGTGCAGAAGGGGCTGGAAGCTCTGTAGTATCTCTCTCCAACCCCTGCCTGGCGTCTTCCTCCTTCGGGCGCCATCCTGGCCACAGAGGGCTTGAGTTCTGGAGCTGATGGAGAAAGCCATCCCTGGAGAGCTGGGAGGTGCCTGCTCTCTGAGCGCGCTCTTTGCTTACTTTCACTTTCTGGAGCACTCTGGAGAACGGCAGACACTACTTCCTTAGACACTCTTCCTAGCCCTTCCTCTTCTACACCCTTTCCTGCTTTGCTTTTTTTTTTTTTTTCCTTCTCTTTCTTTTTCTACCCCGCATGAAAGTAGGTGAGGAAGCTTGAACCGGCGTGTATGTTTGTGTGGATGGTGGAGCCCAGGGACGAGGGAGATTTCCTAATGCCCGAGCCTACCACTAAGAAAGAAACTCAGTGTTTTTATTTAAACAACCTTTCCCCACAGCTAAGCCTTCATATGTGGAAGAAAAACTCAAACCTTTTCCCTTTCCACACTTTACGGAAGATAAGGTAAGCAGAGGCAGTGATAATGTCAACCCTGGACTGAAAACGAAGCCTTTATGTACAAACTATGTGCTCACCTTTAAATATTTTTGAGGATAAATCCCTATTTGGCAATTAGTGGAGAATCGACTGTGCTAGATTTTTTGTGAGGATTGTGCATGTTTTTCTGGTGTTGAAAGAGTCTTGGAGTTTTGTGTTGGTTTTTAAGTATTAGTTTTACAAAAGCTTTGCAATGTCAGGTAGACTGTTTTCTGTAACTGAAAAAAAATACCCTTTCATACATGAGTTATTTGAGTTTTCTACATTAATATTCTTTTTGGTGGGTCCAATGTCAGTTTGTTCGTGTTAGCATATTTAAATGTCAAGGTGGCAGAAAATGCGTGTTTATATTTGTATAAACTTCTGCACACAATTTAGCACCATATAGCAGATCCTCGCAAAAAATATTGCCTATGCGTTCACAGTTGTTTCATCTTTGGGTTTCCTTCTTAGCAAACTTTGGCCAAGAACACGGGCTTTGTAGATGGACAAACTTGGATCCGCCTATGAGGGCCAAGAATTACTTCCTACTTTGTGAATCTGATCAAACCACAATCTTGCTGTGCCTTAGTTTCTTTACCTGAAGAAATGGGGATAATAATCTCTCCTCTGGAAGGTTTTTATAAGGATTAAATGAGATGATACATGTTAATACCCTAGCATAGTACCTGAAATGTGGTACGCACTCAAATGTTATTTCTCTCTTCTGTTTTTTTTTTAAACAGAAATGCCTGGTTGACATGATCACTTCTTTGGTCTAAACTTACTATTAGTGATTTTTCTCCATAATCAGATTACTTGAACCAGTCACGTTCATTAGGTTGTAGCCACTCAATTTTTGTGCATCTTGAAGGAAGTCATTGTGCTCTGCCATATCCTAAAATACAACTGTAAGTGAAATGACTTGGAGAGTAGGTCGTGTGTTGGAGCTGGTAGATGCATGGCCCAGCCAGGTTCTTGGCTTTATCCCCAGCTCCACCCTCGTCCCTGACCTAAATACCCTCTCAGAGACTGGGCAGAGCCGAGAAGCAAGGCCCAGAGGTCCCTGTTTCTAAGCTACTTAAGGCATTGAATTTGGGGTGGATACTGAAAGAAAACACTTATCCAAATTCATAGAACAGCTGAAGTCACTGGCTCAACCTTTAGATTTGGGGTACTAGAAATATTCTGAATATTTCCAGTCTCTGGCTAAAATACAGTACAGAGTTGATGCCTTCTCTGCTGATTGAAAATTAACAATTATGTTTTATATTCATCCAATGGGAATGGACGTTTGGCTACTCAATAATTTTAGCTGGTTGTGTTGCAGATGTAAAACAACCATATTGTAAACTCTTTGGAAAAGCAGAAACCATGTCTAATCATACACTTTTTACTTTCATAATACTTGCACATAGTTGGAGCTCTAAATAAATGTTTGTCAAATGAACAAATACATCTAGCCAGTGGCTTTTTGACCATGATAGTGAGAGTGCTACAACATGGGATCCTGTTTTTATTGCCCAGCAATATATTTTATACACACATATCTGTATCTATAGCTCTCTCCCTCTCTCTGTATGTGTGTATGTATTTATATATGTTTTTATATATAATTATTTACATAAAAGGCCTTAAGGGACCCAATTCCATTGGATCACTGATAGCCCTGAATCCATCTGTGGACTCATTACAGATAAAATTGCCAGCTGCACAATTAACTCTGTGACCGTTGCCAAGTCCTCAGTTTCCTCATTTACAAAATGATGATATTAAGTAATCACTAAGGTAGGAAACCCTTCCAACTCTGTAATTCTATTCTTTCTCTCTTGTGAGAAGTGACATATGTTTCTGAGAGGTATAGTATTGTTTGAATTTATTTTTTCCCCTAATGCAGGAATCACACACGAAATCTATTAGGAGGCTGGGGACTTTTACTTGCTTTTAAGATTCTTTCAGGGCACCCATTGAAATAGGTGTCTTTTCATTTCCATTACTTATCATTTAGACACAGGGACTCCACATGGTGGGGCCAACCTGACCCCCAGAGGAGCCTGCCCTGGTTCTGTCATTGCGAAAAAGAGACTGAGAGCTCTTCCAGATCACCCCTTCTGGAATCCATAGGGGACTTCCTCTTTCATGGAAATGAGGCCTGATAGTTCCAGTCTAGCTTCATAGATGCTTTTCTAGACTCACAGTGTGTGCTCCATGTTAAGGACACAGTCTGCCTTAGCCAGCCTCGCCATTTCCAGAGTGAGGTGTTTCTGGTGATTTACGTTTTTTTCCTTTTAATATCTGCATATTTAATGTTGTATGTGATAGAGCCTGATTGTCCCCATCAGGAAAATAGGTTTTCATGTCATTAACATGCTGATTTAGTTCATGAAAGAGAGAGTAAACTGCCAGTATGGTGCAGTATTTCTGGGTGTTGTTTCTCCTTTTTTTTCTCTTCCTTTTACAAAAAGAAAAAGACCCAAAATTGTGCCCTTTGGATTATCATCTTCTCCTTTTACATTTAAACTTCAAAATCCTCTTTAAATGAACAATTAATTCTCAAGGTCTCCATTAGGACAGCTGCCTTTGGGTGTGTCCCTGGTGACTTTATGGCTGTGGATACTTCTTCCTTTGAGCCCCTTGTGAATATTCTGTATCCTGGCCGTCTCTCTGAATCACACTGGTGTTCAGACAATACCCCCTTCCCTAGTTGGTGCTTCTTGATTACTGAACTGACCACGCAGCCTCTATTGCTTTACTACTCTTCCAGATGCTCCATACGTTCCTGCAGAAAAAGATAGTCTTAACATTTAATTTCTTACATGATAAATTTTGATAAGGATCCAAGTATTAAATTTTGATGAGTGCTAAGGGGAAGATGCAGACAACAGACACCAAATCTTATTTTTGGAGATGACTTGACAGTATAAATGTGCAGCACTTGGGGGTAGCCAAGTCTTACACGTTTGAATGAAAAGAACAGGGTTGTTGCCTTGTCTGTGTCAGGATTTCCTCCTCTTTGATCTGCAATGCAGTCCTGCTTTGGTTTAATTAATCCATTAAGGTCTATCTTAACCCTAGTCAGTAATGATGGAGGGGCTCACCGGAGCCATCTAGAATGGGAGAAATTAGATGGATAATGATTTTTGTGCTGATGATGTGTTCTGTCTTTTTATATAGTTGATCCCATGAGGGAAATATTTCTTTGGTGTATTCCTGCTGATGTTCTCAAGACAGATATATTACAGAGAAATAAATCAGACTATGAGATTTTGCTAGTGTCTAATTCTTGGTGTGTAAATTTAGTGTTTTAAAATCAAAGCTATTTTTAAAAGGATATTTTTATCAATGTAATATTAAATAATCAAGAGGATGAAAGATATGTGAGAAACTCTCATTTGGGTATTATTTTTTATTACACATAGATGCTGTTATGGAATATTTATGTTAATAGTCTTCTTCTGATTACTCCCTTCTCCATGAGTAAACTGTTTAAGATGATTCCTCCTCAATCCAATTCAACAAGTGTTTACCGATACCTACCACATGCATAGCAGTTGGCAGTTCTCAAAAATCGGGAGACTTAAATGGCCTTATATGTCTTAAAGTGATAAACCAGGATACTTGGGGTTTTTTTTAATATAGTTATTTGAAATCAAGACCTAAAGCTACAAGGCAATAAATTAATCAAACTGTATTGGTTGAATACCCACTATATTTTTCCTACCATCAGTGGAATTTATAAGCAGCTACAATATACATTTAAAATACATTTTTTTAAAGTATGGTAAGGTGGATGGAGTGGTTTTTACCTTGTTTTAGAGAGTTGGCAATTGCCTGATAGAAATCTTCAAAATTTCTTTAGCAGAGTTCCAGTTATAATTTGAAGGAAGGAAAAATGCATGAGGGATTATTCCACAGATGAGGCTTATGTGGGAAGGCTCAGAGATGTACGTTTCCCACATAAAGGGAAGACTCTCAATGGGAAGAAGCCAGAATGCAAAGGAGATTTGCTCAGAGGATGCAGGTGGGCCTTAGTGGCACATTTTCTGACAGATTAGATGAGCAAACCTACAGAGGGCTTTCAGTGCTGTGAGTTTGCAATTCACAATTGATCTGAAGTAGGATGGAAACCTGCTAGAGGACTGAAGAGGGAACTATGACAGTCAAACCACTGAGAATATGTTTGGAGTGAGGCAATTTTCATATCCTAGGTACAGTGTGATCAGAAGCTGACCAAGGATAATAGAAAAAAATGTATATTTGAGTTCAGATCATTATAAGAAATTTCTAGACTTAATAATTGGCTATATATAAGAAGCAAAACATTTTAAAATGTGAAAGTTTAGCAGAAGTTTGAGGCATTAGATGCTGTCATGGACTGTGTTTATATAGAATTTGGATAGCAGAATGATTTAAAAGGAAAGAGAATGCTCTCTATGGAATTTGAAGCGCTAGCAGAAAATCTAATCAGAGATATCCTAAAGAGGAAGTGTTAACTATGTTAACTTAATTAACCCTAACTAAGAGAGGTAGGTTACAGAAAAAGATGGATGAGTGTATCAACCCCTCAGATGTATGAATATAAAAAGAAAAAACTATATGCCTTAAGATGGTGCCTTTTGAGGGACAGCATATTTAGGAGAAAGTGAAGAATGCTGAGTGAATCATTGAAGGAATAAAATTGAGCTAAGGTTTTAAACTACAGGAGCCAAAGACAGAGAAAGAAGCCATTTTGAGGACATTTTTAGGGAAACAACAACAGGCTTAAAGGAACTTTACAGGATCATCTCAGCCAGTGCCCAAATTCTGTGTATGGGAAAAGGAAGCCTAGAAGAGATAAGTGTCCAAGCAAGCAGAGCCAACTTGTAGAAGAACGAGGACTTGGGCATAGGGGTCTTTGATGAAGGTCAAGTGCTCCCTCCACTGTGCTATGCTGCCTCGGTGAGGGACTTGTCCACTCACCTCTTGCAAATGTCATGAGTTAAGCAAAG